CGCATGTTTTGAGATTTTTCCTAGGACGTTTTCCAAGTTCCCTGCTCATGCCCAGCAAATTTTTTTTGCAGAACTAATTCTCGAAACTTTGAAAAACTAGCTTGATTTCAGACGATTACACTTTTGAAAAATTACCTTTCACAGCATATGTAATCATCATGAAGCATTGAATTCAATTGAAAAGATTTCCTAAATAGACGAGTAGAAATTACGAAATGTTAATTATGAAAGCTAATAAAGCGTGTACTATTAACAACATCAGTTTTTGAAGAAAGGAGAAATTACTTTGACTACAGTATACAGCCACAATACTGTGCCTTCAAGTGTCATTAGCAGCGATTGTAAGGCAGAGAGTGAAACTTTGATTATATGTAAGAGTACAAACAGCCATACCTAAAGAAATATGGAAGACGGTCAAGAGGCGCGGTTTCGTTGAAGTCACCAGTTTAACAGCCCAATCTAGAGCTAAGAGAGTCTTTCAAGGATATCAGACAAAGTGCTCTACTTAGTTAGTATCTAAAGCTACTACATACGAAGCTTGAAAGTGTTCGGTGAAAAAACAATTGAAATACTTGCGAAACTGCGCTTAGTTGCATTTTCGCGAGTTTTTGACCTCCAGTATTCAGTATTATGTTTTGAATTTATTTAAGATTGGTAAGATAGAGCAACCCACGGGAAGATCACACATATCTTGTTGGAAATTTAAATTGCCCCTAGACCTTCATAAAATACTAAAAATGTGCTAACTGGTGTCCATCTGGCAATAAAAATCGCGCCTCTTGATAGACACCCAAGAAATATCGATCCAAAAACACTTCTATTATACATTCCAAGGTAACGTTTGATGAACGCCTACCTAGTTTGAAAATATTCCGAATCAATGTGGAAAGTGCATTCATTATTTGTGTAGTGGTATATCGCAGAACATCGAACTGCACAAACGGCAAATGAACTGTGTTTGTTTTACTCGAATAACGCGATCTCGGACTGTGTTAAATAACAGAAAGAAGGAGTACGAAAAGTAATAAAGAATGACTTGTATGTCTTCTAGTTATGGGAAATAAAATCGAGATGCAGACTTCCAGAGGACTCTTCAAGCCGTCTTGGCGACTAGTTGTGAGAAGAGAGAATATCTTCCCTCCTACGCGTGCAAGCAATGCATCGCAATCCTAGTCCCAGAATGTCCTATCTATTAGTGGATGTTGCAACAGCTGTAGGTACTTCTTCGGATTCACAAAACATACAAAGTATGATTTCGATTCGAGCTATGCTAATCATCTGACATTCTTTTATTTGCACATCGTCAACCACAAATATAGCGAAAGATCTTGCCAGTTTTAGCGAAAGTTAAAACCTCCCCTTTTTCATGAAGTGAGGGATTTTCACCGGAGGCAACTGCTCATTTCTAAAAAAGATGCCAACATTTTCATTCAAGTGGCTTCGTTGTTCTCATTAAAAGCATTTAACAAATGACCTTTAACATTTACTTCGTTCTGTGCATACGATCGACAATGATGTGAACAGAGTGCAGAACTATATGGTATGTGTTTGAGCAGCTGGAGGAAATTAAACAGAGATTCATATAAAGCCTCTGCGAATTCTGAAGCTAGTCATCTCAAATGATTTTACAGTTTTCTCTCGTGAATCTAACAAAATTTTGACGATCATTACAATACTTTCATTTCTGCCCACGCATCAAATTATCGAATTTGAGATTGATGCAAATAGAAACGAAAACGCACAATTCTCTTTATTTTCCTACAACAAAATATTTGCATCCTTGATTTAAACTCAATCGTCACATGTTTTTCAGGTACACACGAGAATGAGAGTAGTGCTCTTCCTGCTTTTGGTTCTTCTTGGAATAAGCTTGCAGGTTGTTGCAGGCTTTGACAGAAAAGATTGGCATAGGCAGGAAATTCGGTAAGCTCAATTTTGCAGTACTCTGTAGTAGAAAAAAGCTTCTTTGTTCCAGATGGCCCGGTTACAAGGCCAAGCCTCTACCAGCAACATCAACAACAGCAACAAATCAAAATTCATAAATCGAAGAAGTGGCTATCTAGGACTTTGTCGCACAATCCAAGACCTCGCCAATAAAAGTTGTTAACAACTTGCAAGCGTAATCAGTACAAACTACACCAACTACACCACGTCAGGGTCATAGAAAAGAGCACTGAACTATGTCTAGCACTCTAGTTTGAGATTGGGATAGGTTGAGATGTGAGCTAATTTCTCTCATTGAGGGTGAAAGGTGGAAATTATCATTGCATATCATAGCTTTCAATTTTTTCTTTGCAGGTTGAATGTTTTTGAGGCAATCGTGTTTGCTCAAAATCATATGCCTTTAGATTTGAAGCTTCAGGGACAGGATTCGGCAAAAGGTGGCTTTCCGAAAATGCAAAATACGAAGTCCCTCTTGACTTTCGCAAAATTCTACGAAGTCCCCTTTGACTCTAAAGCCTAAAGTAAAAACCCTCAAGAAACGAAACGTTGACTAATAAAACATAAATTAAGTTGTGTTTTTTCGGCCACAAAAACAATGCTTTTACTTTTTGTCCCAAAAAGAATATCCAATTGCTTATATGCCACCTGTGCCGAGCCCAGTTCAGGGAAACAAAGGCTTCTCGAAGCAGAGCTCAAAAATACGCTTACAGTAAGTTACTGAAGTAGTAGCTTGCTAGCTTGCTCTTATAAAAATTATCACATTGAGGTCCGATAGAACTGCTCGCAAGAACACAACAAAACTAGAAGTATCAAGAACTTGCAAAGCGCTTCCTACAAAAATAATTCAAATCTGGAATGCGGTACATACATCATTATGCGAACACTCCTTCTTTGAAAGTTGAGCGAATTAGGGGGGAAATTCAGACACTAGTTGGGCTATGTGACATAGCCAAATCGAAAACGTATACATCACAAAAACGAAAATCATGTAAATTCTTAAATGTTTACGTCAGTTACAAATTTTGAGGGTGCATATTTATAAGAACACCTCAAACAAAGCTAAATTTTTTCTCTCAAACCAACGTTTCATATTCGAAATATTTTGTAAAGTTACAATAACGAAGTATTGGATATCTGCTATATGCTGAACCTGGAGCAGTCAAACAGAGCAACATTACTTTTTTCAGATAGTCAAATCAAGCGCGCAAAAACGTCCGTCCTTTTATGGTGTAGCAGTATTGAGTCTTAAACTTATCTTAAAATTAGCACACTTACAAACCTCGATTTCCGTTTCCCGCAAAGCTCTAATAAAGCTTGCTTCAGATCAGCAAAGTTTGCAGAATTCCGATTATTATGATAATTATTTCATGATAATACGAAACAATTGAAGTGTCAACGAAAGGCATAGCGAGTAGGATCTGAGTTGAAGGTAGTTATGGAGTTGAAAAGTTCAAGTTTGGCTTACCAAACACACATAAAGTGGCTTATTATAAGAATTGCGCTTGACAACTGCGATTTGAGCCCCAGATTTCCCTGTGAAGAAGTGAGCTTTATCATCAAAGTAATCGAAAAAATTTGTCGCTTTTATGACCATTGTGACAATTTGCTGCGCAAGCAAGCAGCCTCTCCACATCACATTTGCTTGGTCCGAAGGCGGTTGTATTAGTAAAACTGAAGAATGTCACCATTTTGACTATACAGTAGTTTTTCTTGTAAAAGCACCCAAAAAAGTGTAAGAATTCTCGAAAAGTTGACATGCAAACGCATTTTTTCTCTGAAACAACTTCGGGACCATAGAGATGACAAAGGATGTGCATGAAAGAAGAAGTGAGTCATATCTTTGCTTTTATAGCAAAAAAAAACTGTTTAGAATGTCTTTATGATTGGTTTGAGTCTGTGACTGTACATATGTAACAAAATAATTATCTTTTAGAGTTTAGTAAAATCGAAACTCGGAAGTTAGTTCTCATTTCTCAGTCTTCATTCCTAAAAACCAGTAAAGGTGATAGTAATAGGTTGGTTGGAAAGTTCTCGAACATTGCATTTAGACAAAGTTTTGTTTCGATCTAAGCACTGAAGGGGCATGCTGCACATAGCTGGACACAAAAAAACAATTTCTACAAAATTATGGTAAGCACAAATATTATCAATGGTTATTACGAAAATTCAGACGAAAATTCTAAAGCATAGGATTCTGACCTAACCCAGAACTCCAACTTCTAACATTGAAAATGCCCATATGCTCCAGTTTATAGTATACAGATACTTACAAGGGAAGTCACTTAACTTAGGTCGGCCTTTTGAAATGAGACACATACATTTAGAATCAGCTCGGAACGCTGATTTCAAATATGCTGTCCTTAGCTGCGAAGCGTTCCTCTGAAGAGTTATAAGCTTTTTAGTATGTATAAATGACATATAACTGAATATGGAAAGAAGGCCTTCAGATGAAAATCTGCCTTAAAAAAAGTGGTGGGAAATCGAAATAACATCAAACTGAGTCATTTGGCTTTGATAGATTGTTGTATGCATTTGAACTACCACCTGGATGACGATACCGTAGCATGCCTAAGTCGGTCAGCACGCAAACTTTGCTTGGGAAAAAGCTCATAACTCGCTTTAGAGGAACGCTTCGCAGCTATGGTTAGCATATTTGGAATCAGCGTTCCGAGCTGATTCTAAATATATGTGTCTCATTTCAAAAGGCCGACCTAAGTAAAGTGACTTCCCTTGTTAGATGCTGCATGCACAGTTTGCCCGGAATTTAAGCTCAAACAACAAGAAAAACGAGGTAATTAAAAATTGGCAAACCCGCCCAATTAATCTCAGGCTCCTCTCACTTGTTTTATTATCCACTACAGGCGAGAGGAAGCGCAGCTGCAATTTTGAGGATGTACATGCAAGTTGTACTTTTTAAGAAATAGCAGATTTGGTCTAAAAATGTCCGAGAACTGTTGAGCCAACCTAAAACACACCAGTGCATAAATAGGGGCGTAATGAATAAAAATTCAAGCCTTTTCACTACACAGCAATCGAAAAAAGCCATACAATTTGAACCGAGTGAGAAATGCATATTATCCGTCAGCGTTCTTCAAAAATCACAACTAGACATAGCCATTTGCACTGATAAGCATTCCAAATACTTTTTCGCCTGCAATGGGCACTATCTTCTTCGTGAATGCACTTTGACTATGGATTTTGATCATAGTATGTCCACCGCCGAGAGATTCGAAGAGACTGGAAATCTGTACTCATTAAACACTAATACCATAATTATTCACCTGTGTGCTTGTTTGTTGACTGCGGGGTAGTATGATTCCAGACGCTTGTACGATCTGATGTTCTTGATCATCGGAAGCACTCCGGCGAGAAGTGTCCTTGCCACGGCCTGAAACAACAGTTGTGGTGAAAAACAAAATAAATCACAAAATTTACCTCGTCGTCCGCGTAAAGGGGTGTCATCATGAGGTAATTTGCAAGAACCGCTCTGATACAGCAATATCCTACTATTTCACGAGACTGGTTTACAGCCACCTAGATGGAGTTGGTTTTCAAATTTTCTTGAATCAATTCGTAATATTAGGGTTGCCCTTATACTTCATACACAATATGCGATAACGGTTATCTGAAAAGTAAAAAACTATTAACAAAGAAAAGCTTTTCTGTTTTTTGTTCCGCTGATGATTTTTGCTCGAAAAGCTTTTGCTATCAATACAGCTCGATCTGTAATTGCTCAATTTCCTTTATATAAATTCAAAAGCGCGAAACATGTTGACCTTGAAAATGTGTCTTAATTTCATTAGTTTTGATAGTTCTCTACCACTTCCAAGGTGGTCAATTGCCTTCAAGAAAAAAATGTTCGATTCGCAATCACTTGATAGAAAATGGCATAAGATCAAAATGGATAACCACCAGACCGCGCATTTCTGAATAAATCGTTTCTTTGGTAACTACCAAAAGTTCTTCGCAACAAAAAATTCTTCTCTGTATTATATCTTTTTTCCAATAGAGCAAAACTAGTTCCTCCATTTTTTTGTACACTTGATGAAATCTGAATTGAAATTAGCTATGGATAATCAGAAAATACACAGTAATGGTAGTAGCAAAACAACATTCGGCGGGTTCGAAAATTCGTGCTCTTTTTTGGGCCTATTCTAAAATCATTCAAGACGAAGATAGACAAATCGCTTTATCATCCGACATAAAATTTCTTCCTCTTTTCAACAGCTATGTTTACATTGTAACTGTTTGACGTGCGCTAAGATAATTGCCGAAAACTAGAACCCTTCATTTTTACCATGTCCAACTTTCGCAAATTTTCAGAATTTTCATTTTAGGCTTTTGAAGATGCTCTAATAACCATCTGAGGCAAACCTTTTTCAAATTAAAACAATTTTTTGCGTTTTCAGCTCCCTCTTCAAATTTTTTGTGAATTATTTTACTAAAACATTGAATTTTGAAAAAGTCGTGTGGCACATAATTGCACCAGACACTGCGAAATCCTCAAAATAACGAAGTTCTAAAACTTGGTTATTACTATCACTAGTATTACAAGTAAATGAACGATTACGGTGTGAAATTGGATAGATTTTTGAATTTCGACTACAACCCTGCGCACACGTAAAATTGGAAAGTACGGCAATTTTGTCTGCAAAGCCGCATGTTTCGCGAAGAAAAGGTAGCTGTCAGAAAGAGGAGAAAAAGATGCATCGAATGGTACCTAAACTGTTCAATGTCTGATGTTTTGCGAGGTCAGAATGAGCTAAATATAAAATTTGGTCACTTCAGAAAAAATAGTTTAGTAATTCCAGAACGCATGCCAGAGAGATGCAAAAAATTGCTTTAATTTGAAAAAGGTTTGCCTTATCAGGTGGCTATAAGAGCACCTTCAAAAGTCTAAGAAAATTCTGAAAATTAGTGAAAGTTAGACATGGTAAAAATGAAGGGTTCTAGTTTTTGGCAATTATCTTAGCGCCATACAAAGCAGTTACAATGATTACATACATTTTGGAAAGAGGAAGAAATTCTGAAATCGGATACGTTTGGAACGATTCGTCTATCTTCATTCTGAACGATTGTACAGGGTGGGGCAAAAGTCTGGGAGCCTAGTTTGTAACGCTGTAAATCAAGAAACTATTGATGATTTTGATTCCGAATTTGGGCTGCATATTGCTGCGATCATCCTTCACAAATCACACTTCAGCCAGCTAGAAATGCTTGTCATATAATTTTGTAGGGATTGGATTTATCAAACAGATGCTTCTGCAAAGCGAAAAAATCGAAAACCTCGGTCTTCATAGCTTATTTCGTAGCTAAAGATACAGTAGATATTCCAGGGCACTTCGATGCACACATTGTAGAGGAGGCTTTGCGCTATCGATTCGTAGTAGTTGAGTTTGCCAGATACTATTCTTTCGAAAACGCAAAATAAAAATTTGCGAATACTACCTGCGTGCCAGTGGTCATTTGTCTTCAAAATGAATTTGAAAGCTATAGGAGCGCAGCAGGCACTATGTTTTAGGCTATATTCTTTCCACGAGTCTTCTATACAAGCATCTATTAGATTTCGATCGATGGAGGAATTTCAATGCTTCTAGGTTATGATTTTTCGCTTCCATTCACGCGATCGCATCCAGATTTCCAGTATGCGAGTACACTTGCCTTCACTAAAGATTTCAAAAAAAAATTTTCTTAACATTGCAAAAAAAATTTTCTTTGTAGCACTTTGTAGCCAAAGGCTTGCTCTATCATACTGCACATTTGCCTGGTTGTAGAAACAGATACTGTGATGGCATGGGACGAATTTCATCACGACTGTCTGCGTGCCATGACAGGCGGACTCACCAAGATTTCGAAGGGCTGCTTTCAAGCCAGAAGAGGCAATTTCAAAATGTAAGAGCAGTGATGTATTTGCAAAGGTCCGATTCATGTGTGCACCAAATTTTTTGTTTCTAGTTACTTTCCTTCTGATTTTATCTGAAAAAGTACGAGGCTCCCAGACTTTTGCCCCACCCTGTAGAATAGGTCTAAAAATGGCACGAAATTTCGGCCCACCTAATATTAATGATAATAAAACAATTCAAATAAACATTAATGTCGATATAAAGCTGATAATATACAAATAATGCGATCTGAATATGGCCAGGTAGGAAGAAGATAATCACCTTGGTATAGCAATTACTGGAACTAATAAAATTCAGCAAATACTCAGCACGATTGAACATAGATGCCGATGAGTCGTAAACGGCTAATTTCTTTGCATCAACTTCATTAATATCCTGCAAATTACAATACTTCGATATGTATGATACCCAAATTAAGTATACCTTCAGGATGTAATTCGGGTCGGCTTTTGGAATAACAATATGCTCAGTAGGAATAATTGCCATGTCATTTCTAAATTTTGGCATTTTATCAAAACCATATTTTGAAGCGTACTTCGGCGACATGCTTGGTTCTGAAGTTTATTTTGAGACAAAAACCAGTGAAACGAGAACTAGTTTGCACACAGATGTATAGCTATCTAATCATGATCTACCTGCAATCAAAGCAACATTAGACCCATGCGCCACTTCCATTATTTTGCTGAATAAAGCATTTCCCACGCCATATTTTCGCCATTCTTCGCGAACATAGTAGATTCCCAGCTGTTGCGAGGTCATATATGTAATGTACCAAAAAATGCTAATAATTCATAGGGGCACTCACTATGTAAACTATATCGTCCGCTTTTCCTGAAGCTGGCGGTTCAGACATCAGCATGACGCAACCAATGGCTTGTTTGGTTTCTGAGACAGAAACCTATTGAAATTTTTTTTCATTTTCTTCAAACAAGAACTACCTTTTACAACTGCAACATATAACCAAAACTTCCCACAAAATGATTTTTTCCAGGTGTCCAAGTCCTCATGTGTAAAGGGCCATTCAACTTCCTTGGCCATCTGGAATATTACGCTTTGCAGCATCATAATTTCACTTATTTCTATAATTGTTAAAAATTCAGAAGTGCAATTACCAAATGCAGTTTAAGACCTCTTATTAAGCTTAAAAAAGGAGGCCAATAGTAACTTGATAAAAAATTTTTTATGTGTCGGACTGCTTCAAAATCCAGGATGTAAGAACACCTTAGTGATCATTCGTTATTATCCAAATTACAATCCGACAATTTTAATCAATTAAGTGTGACTTACCCATTCCACTATTTCGTGCCAGTGATTGCTATCGGGATTCGTGACAATCTCCACATTTTTGAGTGACTTCTCCATTCGGCTATGATGTGTGAAAAATTTGGGACAAGGTTCCAAATAGGGGAAGTGCTTTGCTACTACTATCGCCTCAGTGTTTTGCTGCTATCTGTAAGAACGCACGTGTACATCGCCATATCAGTCAACTTCGCCTCTCTCTCTCTCTCTCGACCAAAAACAAGAATATCAACGGAGAGGGGGGGGGGGGAGGTATGTAAGGATTGAGCGACAAACGGAGGTGTCCTGAAACTGAAAAAACCGTCAACTGATATCCTCTGTGGTGATCGAGTGCGATCAGTGAGCGTGATAAAGTCAAAAAATGGCAAACTCTTATTTGTCTTTAGGTTAACATCAAACATTGCTAGGGTATGATTTTTTTAACAATGGGGGATTATTGAGTTGAAGCGCATATTGCAGCTGAGGAACACAAGTCAGAGAACAGAGATCGTGAGCGTCATCAAGGACAATTGTAGTGAATTTTGAGTCTATCGGAATCTTTGGTTTATTTCGATATCATAATGAAAATGCATTTTTGCTTACGCTTCAGGACAGCTTCATTTTGATTAACTGCGGTCCCTCCTTCCCTGAGTCTCTCCTATTTTCGCTTCATGCCTCATCCTAGTTTTATTTTTTACAGAACCACCAAGCACCTCAAGCCAAAATAACGACCATAACAAATGTCACCTTTCTTGTTCAACGCCGGAAAAGTTCCATTTCCAGTATTGTATTCTAGATTAGTGATATAACGGCATAATGTATCAGTTACAAAAACTAAAAATTCATAATTTGACAAATGTTCAAAAATACCCTGGATACAGAGCCACTCTGCCAACAGCAAATAACTTTCGGAGAAAATGAACTCTAAAACTTCTGGATGACGCTCCTATTTGGATGTGTGGGTGGGTCCGCCCTATCTGGCCGTTCCTTACCAGGCAGCTGCAATAGGAGTGTCCCCCCGCAAGATTTAGAAGTTCCGTTTCCCTCGGAAGTCATTTGCGATTGTTTGAGCACGTACTCCCGTAACCTTTACTCCGGGCGACATACACTACCGCTCGTAATTTGTCAAAAGAAGACACACAGTTGCCCGATCTATGTGACATCACCGTAGTGTGGTCTTGCTTCAGAGTGGACAAATTCTCAATCCGAGGGCACCATTCGACTCAGCTTGGCGAGGCGATCTTCTTATACATAGAAGTCCTCTCAAACACAGTAGGAGGCCAGCTTCCACGAATCGTTTCAAATTTTTGCTTATGGAAGGTTACTCAAAGTGTTTATTCATTGCATTCACTGAGCTACAGAGCGCTATTGTACAGGGTTGGGGGAAAGTCTTTGAACACGGTATTTTTAACGTAATGATGAAGCTAGGCAGGAAGATTACATGAAATCAATAGGTAATGTCTACTTGACTGTCTGCTACACAAAACTGGCTTTACAATTCGAAGATTCCCCATTTGGCGCGGGCACAAGCTCGGAAACACTTGGGAACGCTGTTCATGGTGGCACGGAGGTGCTCCACATCAATTTCTTCCAACGCCTTCTGAAGAAAGACTTTATTGTCTTGCGTGGGTGAGTGCAGGCTTTGGCCTAAAGAACTGACCAAACGCTGTAGTCGGGGATATTCAGATCCGGCCAATACGGAGGCCATTCCGCAGGAGTAGTGAACTCCTTGATGTTGATTTGGAGCCACGCTCAAACAAACTTCACTTTGTGCGCAGGTGCGCTATCCTGCTGGGGGTACCAATCGCTCCTGGCAAAATGGGTAAGGGTCCAGGTCAACAGTCCCTTCCTCAGGGCGCTATCCAAGTGCGTAGCGGTGACCACCTCGATGTCCTGGGACACAAAAATCGTCAGCATCTTGCTGTCGCAAGCGATCGCCGCGCAAACCATTACAGAAGCCGGATGAAGCTTTCCTTCTGCGAGTCAACCTTGCTATTGACTTCTGGGGGCGATTAGGTGATGATTCTATTGTTTGGCGATCAAAAACTTTCCTCACGGTGAAAATTTCGACGTCAGAAAAGAGTATCGTTCGGTAACGTGCCTTGGAGAGACGTTCAAGCAGTCGATGGCATCTGCGCAGTCAGTTCAGCTTCGTGTCCTCCCAAAAAGCGCAAAATTTTAGCATCCTGAAAAGCTTCATCGCAAGGCCCTCTTTTGCTATGTCGGAGACTGTCCTGCCAGAGATGGACAGCTCTGAAGCCAGCTCAATCAAGCTTCGTCGAGGATTGCGACGAAGGCGTTGACGAACGATTTTCAGAATTTCGATACCGGCCGCAGTAGCCAATTTACCACTCCTACAACAGTCCTGGGTGCTGTTCTTATCCTGGAAACGACGCAAGGTGGAAAAGACCCTGATGTGTAAAATTTGGGGAGTCCGCGCAATTTGCTGGTCAGCAATCCTCTCCTCGTGCATCTTCTCAACCAACGCTCGCTTCATTCCAGAAGGCATATCTCCGATAGGAATAAAGCTAATAGTCCAGTTTTTTGAGGTCTTGTACTCAAGAGTATAAGAAGCAGACTTATATAATTACCATACAAACATCTGTGGATCGAACATACAAGGACATCAAAAATTGTTCAAGGACTTTCCCCCAACCCCGTAAAAGAGCCACTAGTGAGTAATCCTCAGCTCCACCGACATCGTCAGCGCTTCTGGTTGTGTCATAAAGATCAGATTAGGGACGCAGACTGCGTCACGGACGTAAGCGATCGCCTTTCGCCAATCTCGTTGAATCGAAGGGTATATTGTAGCTTGATCTTTACTGGGAGATGGCCCTTCTGAACCCATCGTCCCCTACAGTAATCTAGAACTAGGACGCGCGCGCATGCGCTGCGATGACTGCGAACGAGTGCTCCGCGAAGGGCTCGTATTTTCGAAAATCACCAACTCCTTTCGTGCGGCTCTTGCATTATGGAATGCAAGCCAACCACGCTGATTTCAACCAAACACAGCTACCATCCTCTGAATCCTTCTATATATATAAAACCGAATGGTGTACTTGTCTGTACGTTGGTGGATAAGCATGTTGATGCTGTCTGTACGTCTTCGATGGTGTTTTTCTGGTTTGCGACAGTGTTTTCGTGTCTGTTGTTTTCCAGTAGGGAAATTTGACATGTGGGATGTCTGCTGCCCTTTGCTTCGATTCTTCATTTAGTCATCATTGCGTATTTCGACACGCTGGGATGGTCGCGTGCCTTTCTCTTTGATTTTGGATTTCATTTTTGTACTTTTCGACACGTTTCTTAGGCGGTTGATAATGGTTGTCCTTCTTGATTCGTTCTTCAGTGTAGCTATTGCGACAATTAAAGGCAGTGGATCGGCAAAACTCAACAACCCACGATTTCGAAACGGTAGGTTGCTTATCGCTCAAGTATGGGAACAGTGCAATTCCGGTTGCATAACATGCCTTCTCTGCCGAGAAAATTGGTCTTAAGCTTACACGCGCAAGCCAATCTTACACGCGCCGGACGAGTTGGCAATTTCCTTCTCACCATTGGAGGCTGCCCGCCGCAATGCTTTAATCATTGGGTCCCGCAACGATTCAGCGTCGTCAGCCTTGCCTCCACTCGTCCAATTTCAAAGGAAAGGGCATCGAGAAACGCTCGTTTTCGCCGTTTTCAAGCTCCCTAGATTGGATTTTTGGGATCAGCGTAATGAATAACCCCAGGTAAGCAGAAATTTGACCAGGTTAGGATTTGCCGAGCCACTGCCTTTAAAGCGCTCCGCTTTGAAGTTGGATCATGTCGGCATTACATATTCCATCATTTTTTTACGCACTGAAAAACTTGTTCTGTTCCATCTTAACTATTCTTTTTCGTAATATAGTTCTTTATAGCAAAAAAGTGTTCTGCAATCTCGCATCGCTCCTTCATTTTGGTGTATTTGTTTCTGGCCAATTGGGCACCCATGGATGGAGGAATTACAACTTGAACATGGGTTTTTCTCTTTTCGGTCGTCCTTCACGTATTTCTTCTCGTGCCACACTTCTTGATTTACCTTTTGAGCAGAATCATTTCGATATTGCATTTTTCATCATACTTTTTACGTTGCTGAAGAATTTGTTTTCATCTTAATTATGCTTTTTCGTATAGTTCCCTGGAAAAAATGTTCCGCAATTTTGCATAAGTGCTTCTTTAGGTGTACTTGTTAACCAACTGGGCACACGGAAGTATTTTGAAGAAATTACATTTTGAACATAAGTTTTGTTAATTCTCGATCATCCTCCCCCTATTTCTTCTCGTGTCCCACCTCTTGATTTCAAAATATCAGGAAATTTTGGCTGACTTGTTTTTAAGCTGTCATGCAGACATGAGACACTATTAATTTCACTTTGAGTATCTGTTTCATCTTCTTTGATCCGTCTTCCACATGTTTTCTCGTCTCGGCTCTTCAGTATTCGTCTACGGGGTTATTCCACCTGCTGATTATGAAAATGATATCTGCGTGGTGGCTTCTTTTTTGGATTACGGTAGGCATACGGTAGGAGTTGAAATCTCAAAATTCGTTAAAACTTTGCACAGGGGAATTATTCGACCTGCTGATCACGAATATCACATTTTTCTCGCTCGAAAATGTCTTTTTGTGCGGTTACGTGGGTATACGGTAAGGGAGGGGGGGGGGGGGGGGTAAAAATCTAAGTCTGGGTTTTATTTGGCCTGGAATGGTTATCTAGCACTCTGAACATGAATATTATATTGATTTTGTATGGTAGCGCCATTCGATTTACGGTGGGTGTGCGGTTGATAGGTGAAACCAAATTTGCTCAAAACGTTGTTTAAAAGGGTTTTAAGCATGTTGATAACGGATATCGGGCTTGCACGTTGCAACAACGCTATACTGCGGAGCTATGGTAGTTTGCAGCGTTTAAGTAAGCCTGTTTCCTGGCATTCACTCTAATCAATATTCCAAAAATCCGCGAAGTGGCTTTATGTGAAATGAGCGCGATGTTCTGGTCGGCACATTGGATAACATCTCTGCATGAAGTTTTAGGGAGATCGACGGTTTTGACTTTCTATTATATACTTACTGCAGTTATACAGGGAGACTTTTTTTATGCGGAAAAAGTGTGATATTTGTGATCAGCATGTCGAGTAACTCTCCTATGCAAAGTTTTAACGAAT